AGAGGCCACAGCAGTGAGAGGCCCGCGTACCGCAAAAAAAAAAATTTAAAAAAAACTTATATCTGAACACACAGCATTTGGTTTGGAAGTGGTACAAAAGCATATTAAGTCATTTACAGCTAAATTTCAGATTCTAAAACTTTCCCAGGACCCCCTCTTACACTGAATGAAAAGTGAGAAAGGAAAGGTAGCTCCATCTCCTCGTACTTGAAATACAGAAGAAATGCCTCCATCACAGAAGTGGTTCTCGACTGTGGCCCCAGACAATTGGTGGTCTCCAAGGGTGCCTTGCATGCTCCACTGATGGATCAAAATTGAGAATATAGCGCTGTCTAGGTGACTGCCTACTCAACACAAAAATGAGCAAAAAAAGGAAGACCTGCCCACTGTGACCTAAATGACAAAAAGAAACAAGTCACACAAAGCAAGCTCGAGAATGTGCAGCATAATTCCCAATCCCTTAGAGATATGGAGTTAATGCTTCATCATCAGATACTAACTTCCTTGACTCCAGAAAGCAGACTAGGAAGCTGCCTTCCAGAAAAGAAACGTATGAGGCAAAAAACCCTGAAAACCTCCCTTCAACTTCATTCTTATCTTTTCTTCTGTTTTCTTACCCCACCTAAGAAGCCTTGGCAACATAATCCATGCCACTGCCCTCAAGTCCCTTTCTGCCAGTGGTTCTCAGCAGAAGGGCATGTCCAGTAAGAAGACACAAATATTATGAAGAAGCTTTTTCAGAACCACCTCCCTAAAGTAAGAAAAGAAAAAAACAAAATAACAATTAAAAAAAAGAAAACAGTACAAGCAGTCCTTGCTTTGCACAGCACCAACACGCATGTATCTCAGTGGCCACAAGGAACACAAGTCCTCTAACAGGACAGTTGAATTACAGTGACCACGGTGACATTTCACGAAAATGGATAATCGAAAGAGGGAACTGGCCAACAAACATGAAAGCAGGGCAAATAAATGACAAGTGGTTAACACTGAAAGTGACATTCAAATCAAATGTAAAAGGAGTTATAAAAGAATTAGCTGTGGGAATATCGACACTGCTGTCATTGAAGAGATTCCAGACATGCAGCCAGAGGAAAATGAGTGAAGGCGAACTTACCATATACGGAGAAAGAGGCTGTGACGAAAAGAACAAAGATGTCCCAGAGCAAGCTGTACCAGCAAAAAACTCCACGTTAAAGAACACTTGTTCTGTACTGCAAGTTATATGACTTAAAATTACCTCTGATACATTTTTTCTGTACAAAGAAATACAATCTTAATGTTTTAAATTACACTATACTAAATGTTAGTTTTACTTTATTTTTCCGTTTCCCTATAATTCCACAATCGACAGTAAGAGAGATATTAACATTGACAAGAATTTTTAAAGGTCGTTAAATAATCGTTTTCATCAATTATTAAGATCACTTTGCATGATGTCCACCCGCACATTCATCTTTACGGCCCCACATTACACACAAAGGACTGCCTGCACTTCACACTGCAGAGCACCAACACTTGCCGAAGTTCCTTCACCTGTAACCCAGTTAAAAGTAACTGAGACAGGGATGCTTTCGGTTTCACTCAAGTAACAACCCAGATGAACTACAAGGTCGATGAAACAGCTAAGTACTGAAAGGGAGAGAAGAGTCAGGCTGGAAGGAAAGAGTGGTTTTGTGG